GGTTTGTTGACCTTTGCTTTTGAAGCAGAGGTGTAATGTACTCCTTTGTAGCTCTGGGGCATCCTTACAAACAGCATACAGTGGACCGTCACCACTGCAGCAAGAGGCACTCATGACTGTGTGGATGGGTATGGATAGCCACTGTTTGGTGTTCATCAACACACACCTGGGTTTCCATTTGACAGATCCCTACAACTCTGCTACAAAATGGTCAGCAAAGTGGTAAGCACTGCTGCAGTAAAGGGCCCATTCTGACTCAGTCGTGAAGGTGAAGACCTTTTTTGGTTTTGTTTGGCCATTTCCTCACTGACTTTTCTTTCCTGCCATGTGCCTGTGTCTCCATGTGTTTTGTTTTTTAAAATTGGTTTTAATGTTATTAATCTTATGATATTTTATGTTTTTATATTGTTTCTAATGGCTTAATATCATGCTGTAAATCGCCTGGCGCAAGTCAGGAAGTCAGGATGGGGCGATTAATAAGTCTAAATAATAATAATAATAACAACAACAATAATAATAACAATAATAATAATGTTTTGATGGTTCACTGCTTTCAGGGCCCTAAGTTGAGTGGAAAGGCAGCTTAAGAGTGTTTTGAATAATAAGTGGGCCATGTGCTGATGCGACTACATTCTGTAAGGCTGCATGTGCTCTGTTTTGCAATACATTTGTTAGTTGGCTGAACTGGCCCTGTGTCCCTTCCCTTTTTTAACTGGGGGCAACTCATACAACCATCATGCTTGCAGTGGCCACTTCAAGTCAATGCAAGCTTCTGCCCCTCACCTGTGGCTCACCAGTCATTTGCAGTCACTGTCAAGTGCAGCTCAAGGTTAAGTGTTTGTGTATCTCACTGCACTTAATCCCCATGAAGGATCACACCAGTACACCAGCGCTTTCATTCTGCAAGTGAACAGCTGATGACCTGTTGAGACAATTTCCTCATCAGTTTCAAGGTAAATGTGTGAATCAGCTCTTGGCTCCTTCACGATAAGCACAATACTCTAGTCAGGAAGACTTGCTCCTCTCCGTACCCAAACTCTCTGCCATTTTTCAGTTTAAACCTTTGCTAATTCAGAAGGAAAGGCAACAGCCTCTTTTTTGGCTGCTGAGTTGATCTTGAAATGGGATGCAATGAGAGGATTGCATTTCTGATGCTCAGGCATTTGCCTGTTGCCATCCTAGAAGGAATCTCTGGCTTCAGCCCAAGTTTCTTTTGTGGTGTCTTAGAGACTTGGGATGTGTTTTAATATTGCTAATCATGTTTGACCGCGTGGGAAATGAGCAGCTGTTTGATTTGTATCCTTTCCAAATGTCCTTGATACTAAGATCCAGCAGTGTTCAGTATTGAGAGGCCAGCTTGCCATGTCTGCTGGTCTTGGATTTATTTTAGGGTAATGAATATCTCCATGCTGAGTTATTAGTGATTTGGTTTTGGCAAAGACAAAGGATCTTCTTTCATTCTTTCCTTTTCAAATAACCCTAACTTGAATGCTGCCAGCAAGTGGTCCACCATCATTTGTGGCAAATCAGCCCTGGCTCCAAACCCAGTCCTGCATTACTACGGCCTTTGTTCACCCTAGCCTGCTGGTAAAACCATGATAGTAGGTGTTACACCTCCTCCCCCAACATGCCACTCCAGCAACTGAGGACTTGGTTGATGCTGCTGAGCCCCAAGGGTATCCCCTCCCCAGGCCACTTGAGCCAATGATGGTGTCATGATCTGGGCTGTGCCACCAGAGGCCTACTAGGCCCAGGAAGCTTGGCTAGCAGTAGGTGAGGATGGGCCTACAACTCCCAGAAGCCCCTGAGAGGTTTTGGAGCCAAAACTGACCAATAGGGAAGAAGAGGGCTGGGGAACAAAAGGGCTGGTGCCAGAGCAGAAGCTGTTCTTTCTTCCAGAGGGCAGAGCCAGAAGGAAGGCTGCTGCAGGAAGAAACCCTCATCCTGAGGGAAGGGTGAGTAGTCTAGTGTCACTTGGAATAGTGAGCTAGGGTCAGTATATATTTAGACGCATTAGGGCATATAACTTACTGTTATTATCCTGCACCTTGTTGTTGACCTCCTATAAAATAAACCTTTTCCTTGTTTCACTCTGCCTGGTCCTCACGCCCGTTATTTGGCCAAAAGGGAGGTCTGAAGGTCTTGGGAGGGTGCTCTGGACCTTCTCAAGGGAACCTAAATCCAGAGTGGTGGCAGCATTAGGTGACACCCCACCTGAGCCGTGACAGATGGTCTCTCCTGGCAATAGTTCTTCATCCATAGATGCTTCAGGGTACTTGCCAGTCACCCCCAACTTAACCACCGACCCACACCTAAGTCTACCATCCTAGTAAGAACATAAAAGAAGCCATGTTGGATCAGGCAAATGGCCCATCCAGTCCAGCACTTGTGTTACACACTGGCCAAAACCCAGGGGCCATCAGGAGGTCCACCAGCAGAACACCACCAGAACTACAGAAGCCCTTCCACTGTTGCCAGCCGAGCACCAAGAATACAGAGCATCACTGTCCCAGACATAGATTAAGATGGGTAGCCATGTTAGTCTGTCTGTAGCAGTAGAAAAGAGCAAGAGTCCAGTAGCACCTTAAAGACTAACAAAATATGTAGCAAGGTATGAGCTTTCAGGAGTCACTCTTCACTTTTTCAGATACAGATGTGAGCAGTGACTCACAGAAGCTCATGCCTTGCCATATACTTTGTTAGTCTTTAATCTGCTGCTGGACTCTTGCTCTTTTCTACTGTCCCAGACATGGGCTTTGGTCACATACACTAAATAATCCTCTTTCTATGTGCTTTCCAACTGTATTTTTACTGTGTGAACTGGCAAAATCCAATTCGAAATTGCATTGAAAGTGGATTATTTACTGTGTGACCACAGCCGTAGTGTTTCAGCTATATACCTTGTGGCTAATAGCCAATGATGGACTTCTGCCCCATATGTCTATCCAAGTCTCCTCTTGAAGCTGTCTATGCTTGTAGACTACTTCCTATGGCAGTGAATTTCTCGTGTTAATCACTCTTTGGGTGAAGAATTTAGGCCCTATTATGTTCTATTTCTTGCTTTAAGGAACTCAAGAGAAGAGGCTTAGCTGGCTGGTGATCACCAGAGTGAGTGACAGCCTTCTTGCTGACAATCTACACGTTGCAGAGAAGGGCATCTTGTTTTGTCACACCAAGGCTGCAATCACATACGCTAAATAATCCACTTTCAATCCACTTTCAGTATACTTTCCAACTGGATTTTTACTGTGTGGACTGGCAAAATCCAGTTGGAAAGTGCATTGAAAGTGGATTATTCAGTTTGTGTGACCGCAGCCCAAGTCCATTCAAGAGGGAGCTGCTGGCTGCCTACTGAGTGTAGCTCTGTGATGCACGGAAAGAATCTGTTTCATTGAAGTGGGAAGAATGTTGAGTGTTAATTTCACGGATTAGAATTGTTGACGTGTAAACTAATGTTACTCAGGCAGCACACTTAGAAAAAGCGGTCATGTGAAATGGTAGTTTATGCAAATTCCGTTGTGAGTATGCGTACATCTTTATTACTTGTTGAAGAAATACTACTCACTGCAAAACAGCAGTCTAAATATATTTTCATAATACTATATGATGGCTGTTTTCATCATTGTTTGCAAGTCTCCTGCTATGGTGGGAGACCTCCTGCCAGCAGCATGCTCTTCCCACCGCTGCTTGGAGTGTCGACAGGAGAAAAATAAACAAAAATCACTGTTGGGCTGATGGCATGACATCTGTTCTGGGGAAACTCCAGAAGTAATGTCCCATCTCTCCAGGAACAGCTGGAAACTCTGTGGTTTTACCATAGTTTCTTGCAGTTTCTAGATAGTCATGACATCACTTCTGGGGTTTCCCTGAAAGGGTTGTAATGCAGTTATCAATGGTGCCCCATGCCCCCTCCCAAACTCCACCAGTTGCCAAGCTGTGCCTGACAGCCCTACTGTTAAGATACGTTCAATGTCTCAGGCTATCTGATAGGGATGGAAATCTGCTGGACCAAGAGGTGCAGATCAAGATTGTGAGTAGTGTCATGCCAAATGTAAGGGATTCTTGACCTAATTCCCTACCCTGAGTAGTTAGAATAATTCAGCCATCAAGAATACAGGTGAGGGGAATTGCTTCTTGCATATAACATGAGATTCACAATGATGTTAGAAGATGGTGAGACTAATCTTTTAAAAAGAGATATAATTACATTTAAGGACACAAAATGTCCTTCAGCAAAATTAGTGGATGTTTGACGAGCTTTCAGTTTTGGAAGAGAAAAGTCTCATGATAGACTGCATGATATGTTCACATGTTTGTTTTTGTTTCTTTGGTGCTCTCTTCTCAAATCAGGTTTGCATGTGATAACATTCCAGCGGTGCAACTTTAGAAGCCAGAGCAGATCTAAATATATATATATATATATATTTTTGTAGGAGGGGTGTGTGTGTGTATAAATTAAGTTGTGTGCTTTTATATAGTGTCAGCCATTTATAATGTATTTGAAGAGGACATGGATTTTCTGTGTGCTTGTGTTAAATGCCTCTTCCATTCAGCATGTTACATAAAAGACATGGTTTGTACTGTGTGGAAATCCAAGAGCCCATTTTGTCTGATACTTGTGACGCATCCCTGAGTAATTGAGGCGAGTGCAGAGTTCTCTTGAGCTATTTCCAGTTGTCTGAAAACACTTGCTAGATGCACCCTGTAAAAAAAAATCCCTCCGTGTGTGTCTAAGCTAAAAGATATGTATGTTTTGTTTTGTGAGCTTGTATATAGTAAGAGATCCCATGCTCTTTTCTTCCTGTCAGTATCCTGGAAATTCTCCTCTGCCCACATAAAATAATAATGGCCCCACTGGTGGACCTCCTGATGGCCCCTGGTGTTTGGCCACTGTGTGACACAGCGTGTTGGACTGGATGGGCCACTGGCCTGATCCAACATGGCTTCTCTTATATTCTTAATATGGTATTATCTTGGTTTTCGGTTCCAGGATAGAAACTGGGGATAGATTGAAATGTTAACTCCACCCTGGATCAAGCTGTGAACCAGTGGAGCTGGTACCTCTCATGATCCACTCAGACCATGGCATGACAGCACATATAGGCTTGCCAGTGGGTTAACTTACACCCATTTCGATCACTAAGGCTCAAGCTGAGCAAATCCTGTGGTGCTGCCATTATCCTAGGATTTATTTGACTTGCTAGTGGTCTTCCAGGGTACTGGCCCACCAGGACATGTCTCAGTTATTTAAAGGGCCATCTACCCCACCCCCACCCCATGGTAGTAATGCATTTCTAGACAGAATGATTGACTTCTGTTTTTCTCTTCTTAAAAGATGGGGACCTCCTGTTTCAGCAAGTGCCTATGGTGGAAATTGATGGGATGAAGATGGTGCAGTCTCGAGCCATCCTCCGCTACATTGCAGCCAAGTACAACCTCTATGGAAAGGACCTGAAGGAGCAAGCCCTGTACTGTAACCGATTACATTTATCTAGCTTTGCCGTTAGGGACCTGTTTATTGCCCCTGTTTCTTGTGGGCATGAGTCTGCTTTCCAGATAGGAATTTCTCTTGGCTCCACATAAAATGGGACATATGGTGCTGGGCGCTGCTTGCTTCTGGGGACATGGATGGTGGGCAGGCTTACAGGAGGGTGGGGGAAAGATGGGTGGGTGCAGGTGGGTGGTGGTGGTAGCAGTGGCCACTGTCTGTCAGAAGTCCTGAGTCCTGACACCTGTCCAGCCTTGGAATATGTAGGCACCAGTTTAGTTAGAGTGACTCCCCAAATGCTTTCTGCTTCCAGGTGCTCATTTGATATCTTCCAAAGTAAAACTGCCAATGTTGGCCCTTGAACATCAACTTTTGTTTCTCATAAACGTTTATGGAGAACCCACTTTGGGTTTAGAAGTTGTAACCTTGTTCTAAAAGGAATGCAAGGTTTCCAGCATGTTAAAAGTTCTGCCAGTGAACAGGAAATGAAAGGGCGGCTTGTAGAGCATAGTCTAAACTATGCTGATGTCCATGGAGACTACTTGCATACAGCAGCTGACCATTGGAAAACTAGTTATCCTGGGTTGTAAATGCTGCTGTGCAAAGTCTGCTGTTCTAATAAAATTTGCCTTTTTGCTGTGCAAAGCAGATAAAGATATAGGCTGGTACCAAGTCTGCTGTTCTAATAAAATTTGCCTTTTGATAAAGAACATTCTAAAATTATCTGCATGTCAGACACATTCTGATTTGTCATTTGTTTTCCCCTTCCCTGCTTTTTAAAATGTTTTCTCTTCCCAAATATTTACAATAGCATGAAGGAAGGCAGCCAGTCCCTGTAAGGCAGCCAGTGCCTACAAAATGCTTGCTCTGTAATTTAAAATGGTTTCCATGACTATATCAACCCTTAGCCGGAGAGCCCTATATATTTTAAAAGTTGCCTAATTGTTTCATCAACAAGACAGAGACTGTTACTGACCAGTGTATGTTGCTTTAGAATTGACATGTACGTGGAAGGAACAACTGATCTGATGGGTCTAATTTTGATGTACCCTTTTCTATCGTCCGAGGATAAGAAAAAACAACTTGCCACCTTTGTTGAGAAAGCAACTAAAAGATATTTTCCAGTGTATGAAAAGGTATGTGTCAGTAACTTCTTAGTTCAGATCTTAAAGACTTGGGTTATGAGTTACTTTACAGTTTAAGGTTATGTTTTAACTGAGTATTTAAATTTTTGACATTAAAGGAAGATGTATGAATTTTCTTTTCAAGAAAATTGGAGAAATCAAGGGAGTGTTCCATGCAAAGCTGGCCATGATAAAGGACAAAAACGATAGGGACCTAACAGAAGCAGAAGAGATTAGGAAAAGATGGCAAGAATACACATAAGAACTATACAAAAAAGACCTCGATGTCCTTGACAACCACGACGGTATAATCACTGACCTCAAAGAGAGCTCTTTCAAGAACTGCGCTTGAGAGAACAACTCTGAAATAACTTGTAACTGACCCAAGGTCATGACAGCAGCTGCATGTGGAGGAGTGGGGAATCAAACCCGGTTCTCCCAGAGTAGAATCCGTGCACTTAACCACTACACCAAACTGGCTCTATTTTAAAAGGAATTACTGAAGTATAGTTTTAAAAGATGACAAAACGTATCAACAAATTAACTGAGATTAATAATATTCTCAGACATTTTTGTTATGTCGAGTTAAATTCCAGTATGGAATAAATGATTGCCATCGGTCAGGCAAACTATTTCTTTTTAAGTTTAACGGAAAGTTGCTAGATTGGAAAGTCGACTAGATATCTCACATACAATTTTCTAGAGTCCTCTTCCTCAGAAAGCCATTTTACTTGGGACTCTGGGAAACATTTCCCAAAGAAAGGAGCAGCATAGCTGGCCCTGTCGTTCTCTTTCCATACCTGCAAATGGGGGAACTCTGAGAGGGTGTCGCAGGCCTTTTCCTCTACCATTAGAATAGCTTCAAGGAGGTGTATGTCTGCCCAGCTGAACTGGTTGCCAACAAGAAAATCTTGCCCATGATCTTTCAGCACCTGTAATATGCCAATGTTAATGCAGTTTCAAGAAAAGTCACCATCATTGGATATTTCAACACCTTGATATCTCAAAAAGAAAAACTGCTTTTTCATCCAACATCTATGCCCAGTATAGCTTTGGGATTTCTCATTTGTTTGTTTAAAGAACAAAGGAAACTACTCAGTTTGTACAGAAACATGCACTGAAGAAGTCGGATAATTACCAATAATTATTCTGAAACAAGAATGAATGCTGGAGGGGGGCAAACCCCCCAGGAATTCAGAAAAGAAACTATTTATACTAGGCCCAGGTTAGAGACATAGCAAAATGAAGTGGGAACAATGTGGTAGAATGGACTGTACTAGTTCATGTGGTCCCCCCCCCATTTTGTCTTCACAACAACCCTGTGAGCTAGGTTAAGCTGAGAGAGAGACAGAGCAGCCCAAAGCTCAGAGTGAGGATTTTAACCCATGTCTTCAAGGTTGTAGACCAATGCTAAACCGAACTGGAACTCAGTACAAGGTTTTACAGGGTTCATTTCATGCATCCAAACATGTGCACACAGCAGGGAACCCTGGCTAATCCCATTTTCCCATGTACACAACTTTCACACATTAGGGCATGGAGATAGTTCCAGGTGGTCAGCCGTGTTGGTCTGAAGCAGAACCTTTAAGACCAACAAAGGTTTATTCAAGGTATGAGCTTTCATGTGCATGCACACTTTGTCAAATGCATTGGAAAGGAAGCTAGATTTCAAACAGCTTGTATCTATAAATTTGAAATCTAGCTTCTTTTCCAATGTATTTGACAAAGTGTGCACGCACATGAAAGCTCATACCTTGAATAAACCTTTGTTGGTCTTAAAGGTTCTGCTTCAGACCAACACGGCTGACCACCTGGAACTATCTCCATGCCCTAATGTGTGAAAGTTGTGTACATGGGAAAATGGGATTAGCCAGGGTTCCCTGCTGTGTGCACATGTTTGGATGCATGAAATGAACCCTGTAAAACCTTGTACTGAGTTCCAGTTCGGTTTAGCATTGGTCTACAACCTTGAAGACATGGGTTAAAATCCTCACTCTGAGCTTTGGGCTGCTCTGTCTCTCTCTCAGCTTAACCTAGCTCACAGGGTTGTTGTGAAGACAAAATGGGGGGGGGACCACATGAACTAGTACAGTCCATTCTACCACATTGTTCCCACTTCATTTTGCTATGTCTCTAACCTGGGCCTAGTATAAATAGTTTCTTTTCTGAATTCCTGGGGGGTTTGCCCCCCTCCAGCATTCATTCTTGTTTCAGAATAATTATTGGTAATTATCCGACTTCTTCAGTGCATGTTTCTGTACAAACTGAGTAGTTTCCTTTGTTCTTTAAACAAACAAATGAGAAATCCCAAAGCTATACTGGGCATAGATGTTGGATGAAAAAGCAGTTTTTCTTTTTGAGATATCAAGGTGTTGAAATATCCAATGATGGTGACTTTTCTTGAAACTGCATTAACATTGGCATATTACAGGTGCTGAAAGATCATGGGCAAGATTTTCTTGTTGGCAACCAGTTCAGCTGGGCAGACATACACCTCCTTGAAGCTATTCTAATGGTAGAGGAAAAGGCCTGCGACACCCTCTCAGAGTTCCCCCATTTGCAGGTATGGAAAGAGAACGACAGGGCCAGCTATGCTGCTCCTTTCTTTGGGAAATGTTTCCCAGAGTCCCAAGTAAAATGGCTTTCTGAGGAAGAGGACTCTAGAAAATTGTATGTGAGATATCTAGTCGACTTTCCAATCTAGCAACTTTCCGTTAAACTTAAAAAGAAATAGTTTGCCTGACCGATGGCAATCATTTATTCCATACTGGAATTTAACTCGACATAACAAAAATGTCTGAGAATATTATTAATCTCAGTTAATTTGTTGATACGTTTTGTCATCTTTTAACACTATACTTCAATAATTCCTTTTAAAATAGAGCCAGTTTGGTGTAGTGGTTTTAAAATAGAGCCAGTTTGGTGTAGTGGTTAAGTGCACGGATTCTAATCTGGGAGAACCGGGTTTGATTCCCCACTCCTCCACATGCAGCTGCTGTCATGACCTTGGGTCAGTTACAAGTTATTTCAGAGTTGTTCTCTCAAGCGCAGTTCTTGAAAGAGCTCTCTTTGAAAGAGCTCTCTCAGCCCCACCTACCTCACAGGGAGAGGAAGTGAAAGGGATTGTAAGCCACTCTGAGACTCCTTCAGGTAGTGAAGGGCGGGGTATAAATCCAATCTCCTCTTTGTCTTTTTGTCGTCGTCTTTGTCTTCTGACTGAGATAAAAATACTCCCTCTCTGAGACTAATTACACAGTACACTTCTCCGGGGTACATCCTTAGTTCTGGTCACCAGACATGGTCTGGGATTTCCATTGGAACTGTACTCCCAGGTGCACAGGGCCTACTTTAGGATTTCAGGGCTCAAGTGTCCCCCCCCCCAATTCCTGACCTAAGCTGCTAGTTCCACTGGGGAAACTCAACGTTTAGGCCATTAGTACTTATAAGTTTCCCCAGTGGGGCAAATAGTGAGTTATAGTCCTGATCCAAATTAGGCTCCTGCGCACCTGGAAATTATTTCACCTGGTAGCACGGAACTCCTAGAGCCAGCATGTTGGTGGAACTTGAGGATGTGCCTGGGAAGAGGGGATTACACCCTCAGGCAGCTAGTTGCCGGGCAGTTCATCAACCAATGGATGGGCCTGACCAAAACATGACAATGGTGGGACAGAAGAGCATCCCTTTTCATGTACCCAACCTCTTGTTTGAACCGGACTCTTGGGTCACCATGCATGCATGCAGTAGTAGAATGCCAGTGATCTGTGGCCCAGGGGGGAGTAGGGCCGGCTGACATGCTGACAGTACACAGGTAGTGGGATTGCACTTCTGACAGGGCATATGCTAAGTTGTATGGGTAAGTTCTTTTAGTGTGCCAGCGTCAACTTTAAATCAGGCCAGTGATGGGGGGGGTGACATCTGTGGAGTGGCTGATGGCTGTAGCCTCTGTCAGCATAGGGTATGGTCAGACGCTAGTCATGTGTATGTTTTTTTTTAAAAAAGAGCCCAAAGCATAGTCACAGCACTGTAGGTCTCTTTGTACAAAGCACTGGTAGATTCAAGCGAGAGGGAAGGGAAAACGGCAAACTTTGTGTTAAGAGCAGGCTATTTTATTTCTGATCTAAACAGAGTGTGTGTATGTGTGCTTGTTTCTCTCTTCTCATCCCCTCATTTAGGCTTTTAAAGCTAAGATAAGTAACATTCCGACCATTAAGAAGTTTCTGGAGCCGGGAAGCCAGCGGAAGCCTGTGCCCGACGACAGATACGTGGAGACAGTGAGAAGAGTTTTCCAGGCCTATCATGATGTGAAAGCTACTTAGTTCCACACTACTAGTACCAGTGATGAATCATGATTGTTATGAAAGGACCTCTTGTTTCCTCAAACGTGTGCTCTTACACTAGAGATGAGTGATTGTTATTTGACACTTAGATAGCTGATGAGTGAGCGCCGAAGTAGGCCTAACACATAGATAGTAGGGGTCGCCTGTAGCAAAGGGAGGGCAGCAGATATAACATGTATTGGATTATAGGCGAGTCTTTTGACCTAGACTCCTAGGCGTAATCCTCTTTAAAGACAGCTTTTGTGTATTTTACTGCATCAGGCGAAGCAACACTTTTCTTTAGATAGGCTGATAAAATAAACTGTGTTAGTAGAGAAGCTCAGATAACTCTTTTCTGCCCAGCAGTATGTTCTGCCAACGGGAGTGATTGGTTTTAATACAGACCAGCCTTTGTTTCAAAACTGTCTTTTCTTCCTTGCTAATACTTGTGAACACAGAATGTGACAGATTTACAGAACATATAGAAAGGATGTGTTGACTGCAGATGAATTCCTAGAAATGGATATTGCTTAGGAATCAAGCACCCCAATACCACAGCTGCTGCTTAAAATATCTACATCCTCTTCTCTTATAAAGCTTAATCTGGTTTGTGATATTGAAGAGTGCAGTCCTTTTTCATGCACTGCAGCCACAGCCTAGAATACTATCTCTTTGTAATAAACAATTTGCATAATATGAAATATTTGTTTGCCTTATTGTCATATATGAGTTTACATTCTTTTGGGTTTGTGATTAAGCATGTTCAAGGGTATGTCAACAACTGATCATATGGCTGAGAAAGATCCTAGAACCAAACAGGGTAGGTTATATGTTGCTTTCTTTGACCTAAAATCTGCATTCAGTACAGTCCTTCAGGATAGACTCTGGGAGAAGCAATGCAGAACAAATATACCGATTAAGTTACTTTTTTGATTAGTCGTCTTTAGTCAGATTAAAGTCTGTTATGGTGTAAATTGATGTTTATCTGCTCCCATGGAGGTCAGGAGGGGCGTAAGACAAGGTTGTGTCCTTGCTCCTTCCTTGTTTAATCTTTACATTAACAATTTAGTCTCTAGATTGAATATGTTGTCTTTGCACCCCCCACAGCTAGGGACTCATCTGATTCCAGTCATACTAAATGTAGACGACATGGCTCTGGTATCTGTAACCAGAGTGGGACTGCATTGATCATTCAGTATTGTGCTGATGAACACCTGGTAATTAATTTTTTTAAATCTAAGGTTTTAGTTTTCGCTAGATGTTGTAGGTTGGAGTTATTACATTAGAATACCTTCAGGTCACATTATGAAAGAAGTCCAGTTTTATAAATATCCGAGAGTTACATTCCAACATTCACTCTCTTGGGCACTGCAAGCGAAAGAGGTCTCTGTGAAAGCATAGTACATCTGCAATTTTGAGGAAACTTTTTTTTCACCATGGGTACTCAATTTGTCCTTGCAATTTCAGATGCATTTCGGGGGGAAATTACCCCACTGTTTTTGTATGCTATTCCAGTGTGGCCTTGGTAGCCTGAGTACATGCCCAGATATAATCCAGACAGATTTCCTTAGATCGATCTTAGCATGTCCTAGATGTATCACCTCATCCTCCCTGTTAATGGAAACTGGGCAGAAGACAACTTATAGCCTGGTCAATGGTTATTAAATATTGGCTTGCAATTAATCTAAAGAGTAAGGAATACTAGTTTTCATTGTCAGTATTAGATTCTTTTAAACCTGGATGGGTTCAGTTGCTCATAGGTAAGCTGAACCTACTCAATTTGGATTGTGACTCTCTTTTGACCTTAGGGAAGACTGGTGCTTATAGTTTGGTTAGTAGCCACCTTGTGGCGGCAGAATGGCACTGTCTACCATGCTATGGAAGATTTTTTTTTCTTGCAAGAATGACTTCACTTACACTTGCTGTCTTACATGCTGTCTTACATACAGTCCAAGAAAGGGGATCTAGAGTTTGTATCTGTGATAGGTCTTTGGTAGAAAGTATTTTGCATTTCTTCTTTTTCTGTGTAATTTATTTGGATCTGAGATGAAAATTTCTCGATCCTCCTCTGAATACGAAGCCTGTTCGCTTTTTAGCGGACCTGGATTTTAATATAACATTAGATTTGTGCAAATATATAGCTAGTGCAATTAAACATCATTTGTGTTTAATAGATATTGAACAACAACTTTTTTTGTCATGTTGCTGTCTTTTTCTGGTTGAAGAGCCTATTGGCTTTAAGACCTAGATGGAATATAAGCATGTTCTACAGCAAATGTACATCTACTTTGTTCATTTGTCATTGAAATTCTCCTTCCCCAAAGAGCTGCAACACTTTAATTCTTACACATGTGGCACAATTCTGAAAGGTAATATTTAGATACAGGAGTAGTAGAACACTCAAATACACAAATTTGAGGTACTGAGATCTTAACATATATTTTCCTACACACACACACACACCCAAACCAGCAAGCATATATTTTGAAGTTAAGATTCTGTTGTTTTTGTACACTATGTGGACAGCTTCCTGCCTGAGGCTTTAGCTTTTGATTAGAATTTTCTACAAGTCAGTGGGCTCACAGGCAAGGCTTTGTAGTAGGGATTCACCAACATTTTGCTCCCCACTGAGTTTCAACAAGCTGACACACGCTCCAGATCTCTCCCTCCAGGATTTCATTAAGTCTCAGGACCTCACAGCAGGCTAATTTCCCTTGCTACTTGGTTTTTTAAATTGATGCTTAACTTCTGTCAACATTCTTGCTACTGGAGCATATTCAGTGCTCACTGGGGCCGTTATGAAATCATGTTCTTCTGGGAAATCCCATGAGAATATATGAACCCCTACCTTGTCCGTGGGTTGCCTGGGTTTAGTATTGTATATACTAATAGATTTTACTACTTGAAGCAGGAACAACACATTGTTAGATACTATACTATTGTGATGAGGAAGATAAGCTGTATAAGGAAAGTTTGAAGGAACCAGAAAATAGAAGACTGAGGCGACATACACACAGTGAGGATTCTCTGTTACAGCTGCCTTGAACACAGAGGCACAATGGACTTGTTCTCTGCTGTGCCAGAAAGCTAGAGCAGATCTAAACAATTATAACGTATCCCATTAATTGTAATGGAAAGAGCTGTTTGAGGATGGAGCCAGTTATTTGGCTCTTGCTAGAAGTCTTCAACCCTTGGTTGGGAATGCTCAAGATTTGTATTTCTGCATTAAGCAGGTGGTTGGATTGGGTGGGCTTTAAGACTCTTCTAACTTGCTAGGGCTATGACTACCCTGATTTTCCTGTCTGTGCAGGAAAAGCATGGAAGTGAATGATTACAGTAGCACCATGTCCCATGATGTGAAGGTGCAGTCACAGAAAGTCTCTGCATGTGCAGACTGCCATTCTCTTGCCACTGAGTAACCACAGCTTGCCCTCACACATTTAGGATTAAGGGACAGGAGACTTGAAATCAAGCCCTGAGTAGAAGCCTCCAAGCATCTTCTAGGGGTGGTGGTAGAGGAAGAGCTGCTCTCTGGTACGTCCTAAATAAAGATGCCCCATGTATATTGTTAACAGCTGTGGACAAGATGGTTTTAGAAAGCAAGGTTCTGTAGTTCTGCAGTAATAGGTAAGTGTGTATGTGCTTGTGCCTAACAGCCAAAGCTATGAGCCATAGGACAAGAGAGGTCACGTGGTAGAGCAGAAGCAAAGTAATAGATCCAGAAGCAAAGTGAGTAAACCTGTAGGAAATGTGCAATATCATGCAGATTTGTTCTGTGTACCTCCCTGGAAATAGAAGACTTTTCCAAGTGATTCCCTTTTTGTCCAGTAAATCCATAGCTGTAACTGATTTGATACAGTGGATCAAGCCAACTTTTTATAAAGGAAGCTGTAGCATCTCAACACCCAAACTACAATATATCGTTACCAGAAAAGTCCAAATATACCGTCCACTCATCCTCGTCCTGTCATGATTTTAAATCTGATACGGAAAATGCTGGTGCAAGTGGAACAGGGCAGACTCAAAATGATAGAATTCATCCTCTCAGGCCATTTTGTAAACATAAAAGTTGTGTGTGTGTGGTATGGATACCATGGGCCACCCAAAAAACTTAATAGGTGGGTTCTAGATCAAATCAAGACTAAACTTTTCCTACAAGCTAAAATGACTAAACTGAGGCTATATACTTTGGTCACATTATGAAAAGACAAGAGTCATTGGAAAAGACAATAATACTCGGAAAAGTTGAAAGCAGCAGGAAAAGAGGAAGACCTGACAGATGGATGGACTTAATAAAGGAAGTCATGCCCTTAGGTTTGCAAGACCTGAGCAAAGCTGTTAATGATAGGGCATTCTGGAGGTCATTAATTCATAGGGTTGCCGTAAGTTGGAAGTAACTTGACAGCACTTAACACACGTGTGTGTGTGTGTGTGTGCATGCGGCAGAGGTGGTTCACTTCTTTAGAGACTGAGAACTCCCTCACTGGACCACTCATGCCCTGTAGAGTTTATTTATTTAGGAGAAGCCCATGCTGTCTCAGTAAACTCTTGCTGTACATATCTTTTAAGACTTTGTGCTTTCCTTGTCTTCCAGCAATGGAATACTATGTGTTTGCATGACAAACACACTCTTTCAATTTATTTTATATATATTTATTGTGTCAAACAAGTAAACCTAATACACCCTGCATCAAACCTACTCCTAAAATTGCCATTTTTTCATATAAGAATCCTTTACCAACTGTGTGGTGGTCACACAATACATTCTCAATTACTGCATCTGCTCATGTCTTTGTGGCAGCTGCTGAGGACCAAGCAACCGACAGAAAAGACCAGTTTCCTAGCTACCCTCCCACTATACAGAACATGGGACATAAGAACATAAGAGAAGCCATATTGGATCAGGCCAATGGCACATCCAGTCCAACGCTGTGTCACAAAGTGGCCAAAACCCAGGTGCCATCAGGAAGTCCACCAGCAAGGCCAGAACTCCAGAAGCCTTCCCATTGTTGCTCCCCAAGCACCAAGAATACAGAGCATCACTGCCCCCAGACAGAGTGTTCCATTTATGCCTTGTGGTATTGGCACTGGACGAGTGCTAAAAGTAAAGGTCCCAACAGACTTGGAAGAAAATATCCCTTTAATAGAGGCTTATTGTGTGGAAATGGGATAGCTCAGCTGGACCTGTTTTTGGCAGGCAGGCAAACATCTCACTAAGCCTCTGTTAAAGGGAGAAGACATTTTTTTCTTCAGGGATCTGGCAACTCTACCTAAAAGAAGGTGGGGTTTTTGTTCTGGGGGTTTGTTGGGGTGGTGGTGGTATGGAATCTGTAATGTATCCATCCCAGACCACATGCGTGGCCATTTCACCACGCGGTCATGCGAAGCAGCTGAACTTCGCTCGCAGTAACAATGGGACAAGCGGATCCTAGCCGGTGCCTATCGGCAGGCTAGGCTCCCGGCCGAAAGCCTATGGAACTCTCAGCCACTGTAAATAGCCAATCACTTGTGTGTGGGTGTGTTTTGGGTGCGGGGTTGTTGCACATATAAACCAGCCTGCGAGCTGGTTAGTTTGTCTTGTTCTGAACCTTAAATAAAGTCTTAGAGCTGAATCACTGCGTTAGTCTAAGGACTTTTCAGAATCATAAGGAAAGATGGAAACGAGCTTAAAATGTATC